CAACAACTTTGAAAACTGTGAGCTGCTTATAGTAATCTGAATGATATTGCGCGTACGCAATACGCTATTTGGAAAGTCACAACTGTAGATGCTAGACTTAGGGCACAAGATCGACGAGAAACCTCATATTGATCCAGAAGGATCATTGTTGGTGATGAAGTTTCATCGGTGCAAACCCGTATAAATTCAACCATATGACCACAACCCAAATGATCGGCTAAAATGATCCATTTCTCATCTGAATCCAAAAGCTTCGCTAACCGCAGTCGCGTCAAATAGTCCATTGCTGAGATATCATCTGAAAAATGTTTCCGGTTACCAACATTACAATCAATTTGAACAAATTTCCATACATCATCCAAAAAATATCTTCGTGCATAGAAAAACTATTTTGTTTTTTGAGTTCATATCCCAGTCTGAGTCCTTTTATATCAAGTCATTTGCGAGAGTACAAGAAAACAGTCTGAAGCTCGTTGGATATATCTTGAGCCATGATGGCTACACAATAGCGAAATCGTCGCTTCGGAATGAATCATGCCAACAACAATTGATTTGACGAGATAATCAGAGTGGATTATCAACGATCGCATTATCAATACCACATGGAGCGGCTTAGACTGATTACAATTCGTGAGAATTGTAGCTGTCAGAAAGCGTTGAAGTCGCCTCAACAACACTCTACAAAGCTCGTTAGGTAAAAAATCCCGTTTAGGTAAATTTTGGTTGGATATATCTTGATATATCCCGTTTAGGTAGCTTTTATGGGGTACTGATCGATTATGTACCTGTATTAAGTGAACGTATTCGATAGGATAACAGAGCATCATCTTCAGAATCGTTGCCGTGCGATGCAGTTGCTTCCGATGCAAGAGCATCATTCGCTTGTAGTGCCGATGACGTCTCCTCAGTTTGTATCCGTTCACCATCCAATATCTTCTTCACATCCTCATCCTCATCACCGTATTCTGCTGCTTTCTTACCACCTCAACCAAACATAATTACTTCGAATTAAGATGGATAGCTAAGATGGAAAGTATCTACTGGTTTAACGTTCGTTCACTCGTTTCATTAGATATTGTCCGTAAGCTCTCATCATACCCTACAATCGTTCTCGTTTCGTGAAAATCGCTCGCCGTCTCGATGAAACTGCTTCATTTAGTGAAAGTGTTCATTTAAAATTCCTTGTTGATCAAATTCTATCGCAGCAAAATGCACAAATGTGAACAATCGAAAGTGATCAATCACGATCGATCATCAAAATAATCAAATTGTTTGTCGGTCAACAAGCCACTAACATTTGTCGGGCATTTCCAGATCGGCTCCAGCATCAATGAGGCGTCCAATCAAGACAAGATTCTTCTTCCGGCATGCGATACCTAACGGTGTATCATTGTCTTTCGAAACGGCGTTCGGATTACAGTTATTCTGAATAATCCTTTCATTTTGTCTCATCGAATATTTCATTTATTCTCGATAGTTCACTTATTCAACCAACGTTGTTGGTTTATCTAATGTGCAATAATCACGAATCATTATGCAAAACCTAAAGGAAGGGAATTTTGTATCTAAAACATTTCGATGTGATGGAGCATCAACAATGGCTTGTCATACTCAAACATAGAGTCCAATTCACAGTCGATAAACCACAATTATGGAATCATAACACAACGAAAATCAT